CGGCCATTTTGAATTATGTGCTAAAATGCTGTATTTTTTGAACGCATGAACGAATTGTTACGAAACTCGGTATGGGTCATCAGTACGATGCCCTGAAGGAGCCTGAGAAGTTTCGAAACAGCGCCACCTAGTGGTGAATTGTTTTATTCAAACGCTTATAACTTTGGGTGTGGTACACTTATTTTCACGGGAGTTATATTTTTGAGGTCCTGAATCGTTGCCGAGTCCAACGATACCAAATATGTCGGGTTTCGTCTCACGGATGGCGTAGCGTAGCGATTTAGCGCGAAAAAAACACTTGGCGATATCTTCAAAACCGCTGTTCCGATCGAGACGAAACCACCGCCAGAAACACGGAATCATAGCTTGTTAACTATACGCTAATGCCCAAATGCGAAAATATTGATAGTAAGGGGTAGTAAAATTCAAACAAAGTCATGTGTCAGTCATTTTTTACGTGTTTTTTCATATAAATGTTTATAACTCGGAAGTGAATTGAGATATTTGCACCAAAATTGACACACATATGTATGGGGTCACTCTGAGGACACATAAAAAAAATTGTGGGACTGAGCCTCTTGGTGGCGCTATAATAGAACAAAACGTGAAATTCCCATTGACTTCAATAGAGTTTTGTGAAATAAAATGCTATACTAAACAAATGCATTGGTGTAATATTACAAAACTCAGTGTGTGCCATAAGCAGCATGCCCTGAAGGTACTCAAAAGATTTTGAGACAGCGCCACCTGTTGGTCAAAAGTTATAATTAATTTCTGAGAACGCTAATAACTTTTGAATAAATTTGCCTATTGCAATGAAACTGATCTTAATAGATTCCTTCTGTTATGCCGAAAACATAGATATCAGGTTTTCCATAATCAGACAAACTTCCTGTTCGCCATCTTTATTTCTTTGAAAAACCTTCTTTTTCGAACTCCTCCTAGACCGTTTGTCCGATTTTCACGAAAATTGAATCGTATCATCTCCAGACCGTGCCGACTAAAAGTTATGAATTGCACGATGATAGACAAAACCGTTTTCGTATACCACAGCATCAAAATTTAGGCATGCTGCCAAAATTACTATTTAGGCTTTATCTCTGCAATGCCTTCACATTTTGACACCAAACTTTGCATGTGTCATTGTCACCTCACTCTGACCACATCACATCTATTTCGTAACTGCGCCACCTATTGTTCGAAAGTGATAACCCATTAAATCATCTTATAAGTTAATGTTTATGTGATTTTCTTAGCCATTTGCCCAAAGTTCTCTCAAAATGCCCTTAATTGCTCCTTGCTGCAGTTGGTCTGCCACTCCTTGCCATTTTGGCATATGTTGCCGCTTCTTGCGCTTGGCCCCGGTAATGGCTGCTTGCAGCTATATTTATTATTATTATTCTTCTTCCGACTGGGCGTCTATGGCAGCCCATAGACCGGTTTGCGGGAAAGTTGTTTTGGTTTGACATTCTGATAGAGGACAGTCCCAACTTTAAATACACCAATTTTGGTGTCTCTAACTCATTCCCTCTAGCGCCACCAACTGTCCAAAGTTTCACTTTTATTATGCTAATAACTTTTGAACCGTAAGGCCTATCAACAAAATTCTTTTTTCCTCTTGTTCCTGAGCTCATGCCGATTCGATCGCACCCTATGACGTCATTTTCCGTCATAAAAAAACGGCCGCCATTTTGAATTTTCCAAAAAACCTACTTTTGCGAACTCGTCCTAGACGGTTTGTCCGATTTTCACCAAAATCGCACCGGATCATCTCCAGGCAGTGCTGACAAAAAGTTATGGAATTCAAGATGATTCGAATAACCGTTTTCGATAAACGCGCAAACAAATTTTACGTAGCGCTTGCGAAAACAGACGTGAGGCTGTATCTCCGCAACGCTTACTCGTTTTCAGACCAAACTTGGTACGTGTCATCACAAGCATGACCTGAGGCTACATGCTGCGTTTCGGCGCAGCGCCACCTAGTGGTCCGGAGATATGAAAAATGGCTATTTTTGCTCGTAACTTCTGAACGGTTTCTCCAAAAATCAAAAACTTGGTCTCGTTAGATTCAGGGCGTCATGCCGAGTCGACCGATATCCAATTTTCCCAGATCGGCCATTTTGGCTGTCGGCCATTTTGAATTATGTGCTAAAATGCTGTATTTTTTGAACGCATGAACGAATTGTTACGAAACTCGGTATGGGTCATCAGTACGATGCCCTGAAGGAGCCTGAGAAGTTTCGAAACAGCGCCACCTAGTGGTGAATTGTTTTATTCAAACGCTTATAACTTTGGGTGTGGTACACTTATTTTCACGGGAGTCATATTTTTGAGGTCCTGAATCGTTGCCGAGTCCAACGATACCAAATATGTCGGGTTTCGTCTCACGGATGGCGTAGCGTAGCGATTTAGCGCGAAAAAAACACTTGGCGATATCTTCAAAACCGCTGTTCCGATCGAGACGAAACCACCGTCAGAAACACGGAATCATAGCTTGTTAACTATACGCTAATGCCCAAATGCGAAAATATTGATAGTAAGGGGTAGTAAAATTCAAACAAAGTCATGTGTCAGTCATTTTTTACGTGTTTTTTCATATAAATGTTTATAACTCGGAAGCGAATTGAGATATTTTCACCAAAATTGACACACATATGTATGGGGTCACTCTGAGGACACACACAAAAAATTGTGGGACTGAGCCTCTTGGTGGCGCTATAATAGAACAAAACGTGAAATTCCCATTGACTTCAATACAGTTTTGTGAAATACAATGCTATACTAAATAAATGCTTTGGTCTAACATTACAAAACTCAGTGTGTGCCATAAGCAGCATGCCCTGAAGGTACTCAAAAGATTTTGAGACCGCGCCACCTGTTGGTCAAAAGTTATAATTAATTTCTGAGAACGCTAATAACTTTTGAATAAATTTGCCTATTGCAATGAAACTGATCTTAATAGATTCCTTCAGTTATGCCGAAAACATAGATATCAGGTTTTCCATAATCAGCCAAACTTCCTGTCCGCCATCTTTATTTCTTTGAAAAACCTTCTTTTTCGAACTCCTCCTAGACCGTTTGTCCGATTTTCACGAAAATTGAATCGTATCATCTCCAGACCGTGCCGACTAAAAGTTATGAATTGCACGATGATAGACAAAACTGTTTTTGTATACCACAGCATCAAAATTTAGGCATGCTGCCAAAATTACTATTTAGGCTTTATCTCTGCAATGCCTTCACATTTTGACACCAAACTTTGCATGTGTCATTGTCACCTCACTCTGACCACATCACATCTATTTCGTAACTGCACCACCTATTGTTCGAAAGTGATAACCCATTAAATCGTCTTATAAGTTAATGTTTATGTGATTTTCTTAGCCATTTGCCCAAAGTTCTCTCAAAATGCCCTTAATTGCTCCTTGCTGCAGTTGGTCTGCCACTCCTTGCCATTTTGGCATATGTTGCCGCTTTTTGCGCTTGGCCCCGGTAATGGCTGCTTGCAGCTATATTTCTTCATATCGTTGGCCAGATGCAGCTCATACTAATTTTAATGAATTTTAGGTTTGATTTTAAGGACTTTTTTTTATTTGTGTACTAGATGATAAACCATTTCAGTGCTGTGTCGGGCTGCCACTTCATGTCTAATGAAAAATCTGGGCTATCCCAGCTAAAAAATTATATTATTTTCTAAGAACGTTTTGCTAATGTTCCCGTTAAAGGTACAATATGCAGATTGTTTCGCCACCAGAGGTCGCTAACCTCTTACAATTACAATAATTAAGCGTGTTGGCGGTATGAGACTAAGCTAGATTAACATTAGAGAATAACATACAGATCATATTCTAACTTTTCATCATGTTGAACTGTATAACATTGATAAGTTTTATATACATATACATATATACATATATATATATATTTGATGGTCGCCCATTGTGACCATTTTTTACCATGCCTACTCTCAAATAAATGAGGCCCACGATTAATCAGATGCAAACAGAAATGTAAAACCAGTCCTAATTGAAAGAGAACAAGTTGACAAAAAGATTGAATCCAAGATTGGGTGAAAATATGGTATAATGAGTGATTTATAAGCTATTTTTTATAGGCCGGTCATTTTTGACCGGGAACACCACAAGTGTGACTATGTTCCATATTTTTTACAAAACAAAAGTTTCAAAACAAAATTCCTGGTAAATCATTAGAGTAGACAAGAGTGATGAACAGTAGCCATTTTTTTCAAAAAAAAATTTCATATTTCCAAATTTATTCATAAATTATTTATTTTTTACTCAAAAAATTAGATGCCTACTCTCGGATAAATGAGGCCCACGATTAATCAGATGCAAACAGAAATATAAAACCAGTCCTAATTGAAAGAGAACAAGTTGACAAAAAGATTGAATCCAAGATAGGGTGAAAATATGCTATAATGAGTGATTTATAAGCTATTTTTTATAGACCGGTCATTTTTGACCAGGAACACCACAAGTGTAACAAGGTAACAGAACTCCCACAAAAAAATACGAAAATGTTCAAAAAACAAATGAGATATAGTTATACCGCTTGGGAACAAAGTCACTAAGTTTCAGTCCAAAGCGATAACATTAACTAGTATTTTCAGGAAAAAGAAAATCTTCCCCGGGTCAAATTGACCCGAACACCACATGAGGGTTAAAGAAATACTTCAGTCACATTCTCAAAATGTTAAAAGGACAGTCAGTCAACTACACTGTAACAACGTAACGTAACTATTACTAGCTAATCCCGCTTCACTCTCGGCTTATTTAACAGCAAAACTGGACATGATAGTCAGGATAGTCAATGGGGACTGTGTAGAGCGCCCTCTTGTGGACAAACTATACAACTCCAACACTCATGACACGGTTGAAGCGCGTTTTGTCCGTTTTTATTTTATTCCTGAAATATTCATTTATCGGCCATTATAACTGCTGATACCGATAGTTTGGAAAATGCCTAATATCGGTCTGGCTCTAATCACTACTAAAGCTCAGTAGATCTGTGTGCTTATTTTGAAAATATGGAAGATTTACCTGCACAAAGATGGGGAAGATGAGGATTTTAGGCGTCACTTTAACGTAGGTGCCATAGTTGGCATGAGGCGTGTGTGATCTCACAATGGTGCAGTTCTGGTAGTTGGCAAAGTTTGAGGTGTGTGTTGGCTGTTGGTAATGTCCACTTTGCTGTGTTGTGGATTTGCTGTTGCCAGAGCGTCTCAGAAAGCACGTTCTGCTGGCCAGTCCAGGTGCTGACTGGGAACCAGTGGCCGGAGGAGGAGGAACAGGCGTCTGAGGTGTGGGGAACATCTGGCCAGCTGGTAGAGAGTAAAGATCGTATAGGTGAGATTCAATCAGATATCAGATGGATAAATGACAAGACATGGTTCAGGCTGGCCCCGCATGTGCACAGATACCCATATTAGAGCTAAACCGATAAAGGATTTTGAAGGCTGATACCGATAGAAATATTTGTTGGTTTTAAAATCCGATATTTTTTTTTTTTTTTTTTCTGAAACATGCAACAAAAAATGAACAGATTTCCCTAACATTAGTTAGTTTTAACTAAAATAATATGATAATGCATTTTATAAAGAAACTTGTTTCTTTTATTGTCACCAGAACAGGCTGATGACTGAGCGCCCTCTGGTGGACAAACTATACAACTCCAACACTCATGACATGGTTCAAGCGTGTTTCGTCCGTTTTTATTTTATTTTTGAAATATTCATTTATCGGCCATTATAACTGCCGATACCGATAGTTTGGAAAATGCCTAATATCGGCCGATAATATCGGCCTGCCGATATATCGGTCTGGCTCTAACCCATATTAATCATAAAATCATATCTCTGTTATTGTTTGGAGGATTTTGTGGAGAGGAGAGTGGGGGACAAAGGACATATATTTCAGATTTCTTTACCTTTTGTTTTGCTTTTTTCGTCTATTCTTATATTGTTGTTTTGTAAAATGTCTATGTATTCCTGCATAGAAGTATAGAAGAGCCGATATATGACAACCGTAGACCCTTGATGAAAATCCCATGTTTTCTGGTCAGTATTTCTGCAGTAGGTTGTGCCATACGGGAGAAAACATCATGTCATCATGTCAGTATCCACTAGTAATAAGAAGTAGAGCCATGGATAGAAATTAATGTAATGAGTTAATTGAAATGAAGCCTTAATGTGTGCATTGGATCAAACAAAACATGAAGGGCATAGCTATGAAATGGTCAAATTGACAAATTCGCGAATCTATTTTTTGCAGTCTAATGACTTGGACTTGGAGTTCTAACACAACGAAATTCTGTCTGGCGAATCTCAGTTAAACAACTAAACAAAAACACTTCAAACAAGCAACAATAAGCAGCATCAAACAGCAGCAATTACTTTTAAATGAAGTATCATTATGTAAAGTGCAATACCCTTCATTGCCATGCTTAAAGGAGTAGTTCATTTTAAAAAAAAAAAAGTTTGCTAATAATTTACTCACCCCCATGTCATCCAAGATGTCCATGTCTTTCTTTCTTCAGTTGAAAAGAAATTAAGGTTTTTGATGAAAACATTCCAGGATTTTTCTCCATATAATGGACTTCAATGGGAACCAAACGGTTCAAGGTCCAAAAGACACTTTCAGTGCAAACTGCAAACTGTTCAAAGGGATTTAAACGATTCCAGACGATGAATAAGGGTCTTATCAAGTGAAACGATCGCTCATTTAATAAATAAATAACAAAGTTTAAGTTTTATAAGCACAAATGGTCGCCTTGCTCTGTTCTGTGATGTGTGTTCGTGACTCTCCTGTTCGAACTCATTTATCAAAATGAACAATTCTTTTTTCGTGTCATTGGGTTCATTCAACGAACGAAATGAATGAGTTGACTCTGGAAAAGATTTGTTCATTTTGATGAACGAGTTCGAACAGGAGAGTCACGAATGCGCATCACAGAACAGAGCAAGGCGAGCATTTGAGCAACTTTGTTATTTATTTATTAAATGAGCGATCATTTCACTTGATAAGACCCTTATTCATCGTCTGGAATCGTTTAAATCCCTTTGAACAGTTTGCAGTTTGCACTGAAAGTGTCTTTTGGACCTTGAACCGTTTGGACCCCATTGAAGTCCATTATATGGAGAAAATCCTGGAATGTTTTAATCAAAAACCTTAATTTCTTTTCGACTGAAGAAAGAAAGACATGGACATCTTGGATGACATGGGGGTGAGTAAATTATCAGCAAAAGTTGTTTTTAAAGTGAACTACTCCTTTAAGACTCTTACTCAAGGACACAATGTAGGGCTCAAGATAGTAACTTTCCAAACGCTGAGCCTTAACCACTGCACCACATCACGAAGAGAAAATGCACTAGGAAAGAGGAACTTACTTGTCCTGTGGTTGTCTCCATAGACAGAGCCCAATGCCTGGAAATATTGAAGAGACAATGACAATCAATACATGTTAAGATATTAGTGGAGTTTTCTCACTACTTTAATGAATCAATGATTACAATATTAGGCCTTTTTTCACACAATACACATAAGCAACACCTAAGTTCTGCTTTTACACTGGAAGCATTTTCATTCGTACATAAAATACAGTGATAAATATAGTGTCGGATTTTAGAATAATTACAACCAGATTATTGTGAACTGCATTTTACATACACTCACCTAGAGGATTATTAGGAACACCTGTTCAATTATCTAATCAACCAATCACATGGCAGTTGCTTCAATGCATTTAGGGGTCAAGACAATCTCCTGAACTCCAAACTGAATGTCAGAATGGGAAAGAAAGGGGATTTAAGCAGTTTTGAGCGTGGCATGGTTGTTGGTGTCTGAGTATTTCACAATCTGCTCAGTTACTGGGATTTTCACACACAACCATTTCTAGGGTTTACAAAGAATGGTGTGAAAAGGGAAAAACATCCAGTGAAAATTGGCGGAAATGCCTTGTTGATGCGAGAGGTCAGAGGAGAATGGGCCGACTGATTCAAGCTGATAGAAGAGACACTTTGACTGAAATAACCACTCGTTACAACCGAGGTATGCAGACAACACACACAACCTTGAGGCGGATGGGCTACAACAGCAGAAGACCCCACCGGGTACCACTCATCTCCACTACAAATAGGAAAAAGAGGCCACAATTTGCAAGAGCTCACCAAAACTGGAGAAAATGTTTCCTGGTCTGATGAGTCTCGATTTCTGTTTTTGAAGAGTCAGAATTTGGCGTAAACAGAATGAGAACATGGATCATCATGCCTTGTTCCCACTGTGCAGGCTGGTGGTGGTGGTGTAATGGTGTGGGGATGTTTTCTTGGGACACTTTAGTGCCAATTGGGCATCGTTTAAACGCCACGGCCTACCTGAGCATTGTTTCTGACCATGTCCATCCCTTTATAGCCACCATGTCCCCATCCTCTGATGGCTACTTCCAGCAGGATAATGCACCATGAATCATTTCAAAGTGGTTTCTTGAACATGTCAATGAGTTGACTGTACTAAAATGGCCGCCACAGTCACCAGATCTCAACCCAATAGAGCATCTTTGGGATGTGGTGGAACGGGAGCTTCGATCCCACAAATCTCCATCAACTGCAAGATGCGATCCTATCAATATGGGCCAACATTTCTAAAGAACGCTTTCAGCACCTTGTTGAATCAATGCCATGGAGAACACAGTATTAGTATGGTGCTCCTAATAATCCTTTAGGTGAGGGAACATCCAAATGATTTAGCCATAAACTGACTATTTTGAAGTGAAATCACAGTGAAATCGCACTGAAACTCTCATTTGGACCTTGAACCGTTTGGACCCCATTGAAGTCCATTATATGGAGAAAAATCCTGGAATGTTTTCATCAAAAACCTTAATTTCTTTTCGACTGAAGAAAGAAAGACGTGGACATCTTGGATGACATGGGGGTGAGTAAATTTTTTTTAAAGTAAGTGAACTACTCCTTTAAGCTGATGATGGACAATGCTTGGCTCTACCTGATTAACCGGAGACAGTATGATGTAATCGTCCCCGTTTGATGCTTTCACACGCGTCCCTCTGAGCGTCTGAGTGCCGGGCTTGCCGTCCACAACACTCCTGCGTTCTCCCCACAGGATTCCCGACCCTCTCGCTCCACCGGCCAGCCCGTCGGACCCGTTCACCAAACCCCTGCGCTGGTGGGGGGGCAGAGGCGGGAGCGGCGGCGGCGGCTGGTCCCCCCTCTTGCTTCTAGCCGGGGAAACTGGAGTGTCATAGTAAGAGGACTTGTAAGTAGGATGATGGATCAGTCGCTCGAAGTTGGACTTCACAGAGGGTCCCGTCCGCCAAACTACCACTGTGATTTCACTGAGACTATTTCTGGAGAGAGTGAGAGAGAACAGTACAAACGTTGTAGTTGATTTATTTATTAATTATTGAGCGTGTTTATGAGCAAACGTAAGATTGTGTCAACACCTCTAACAGGTTTCACCTTGATAAAAAGACACGAGCTGAATGTAATTAAATGTTGTACACTTCAAATCTTAAAAGTATGTTTTGGAAAAATGTTACTTGCAGATAATATAAGGCTCAAAAAGAGTACACTGTCATGACTTTGCTTCTTTCACTTTTGTAATCATGTCAAATTAAAAGTTTAATGAACATTTTAAATAATTGTGTTTTACATAATCTTCGGAGGTGTTTTAAATGTTCTAATATCTAATATATATAATATATATATATATATATCATATCTAATATATATTATATACAACATATATAAATATATTTTAAATGTTCTAAATTATAACTGCATCATTACAAATGTGGATTTGCTAATATATTTAAATTAGGGCTGTGCAAAGATTAATTGCGATTGATCATATCCAAAATAAAAGTTTGTGTTTACATAATATATATGTGTGTGTTGTGTGTAATTATTTTTGTATATATATAAAAAACACACATGAAAAAAAGCCTCTAAGTGCCATTTGAAATTCTCTTCTAGAATAATAATTTTTATCAAGCTTGTATATTTAAATTCAGTAATTTCACTTAAATGGCAATTCAAAGGTAATCTTCATTGTCATTTAAGTGAAATTACTTAAATATACAAGCTTGATAAAAATTATCATTCTTGAAAAAATTTCAAATGGCACTTAGAGGCTTTTGCATCTGAACTTTTCATATACAGTATTTACCAGCAAATAATTCTTAGATATATACATGCATGCATAGAAAATACACGGCACACACACATATGTAAACACAAACTTTTATTTTGGAAGCGATTAATCGGACAGCCCATAATTTAAATACATGATATAGATTGCAAAAGAAATGACTTAAAGTATCTTATAGTTTACCACAAATGCTTGTCAGCACACTTTAACATAAGTAGCTAATTATGCAAATACATATGAACATGTACTTAAGTCCTACTTTAAAAAGTTGCATTTCATTGGAGAAAATAACATTTATTATTAAAGGAAAGGGTAAGACTTTTGAGGATGTTTGCAATCCCTTTAGATCATTCATAGAGAAAGAGGATAGTGACCTGTTTAAAGAGACAATTGAAGATATGTGAGATCATAGGATGTATTTGTATTAGGAGGCCTTAATAGTTAGTATGTGTTTTTTATTAATTAATTTTTTTTTTTTTATTATTAACTTAATTATTTATTCATTTTATTTTTTTATTTTATTTTTTTTATGTTCATTAATCTTGAAAATGTGAGTCCTGTACAAATTGAGATATGCTAAGTTGTAATGATGCGAAAGACATCAATATGTGTCTATACTGTATTTTGTATTTTTGTTCTGGGTGTGTGTGTGTGTTTTATATGTTGGTAAAAAAAAGTTAATAAATATATTGGAGAAAAAAAAGAAAAAAAGTTGCATTTCATTTAAATGTACACTACATTTTTTTAATGGCAATTAGGTGTTTTCAAAAAAAAATAACATTCAATTTGCACTAAAGTTTATTATTTTAAATTGTAGTATTTCTGAAAGTGGTTTTTACAGTAAAGGTCATAACAGCGTTTCTTTTTGCACAATAGCTTATGCGTACAGTGTGCCCGAGTGAATTATTATGAATAATAATTTGATCTTCACAACTTTAGTGTTATATGTACCTGATAGCATGTGCAAGATCTACACACTTCCAATGTTTGACCGGTTGACCGTTTAACTGCAAAACAGTGTCCGACTGCTGCAAACCAGCCTGATGCGCCGGCCCACCTGAGGGAACAAACACACACACATATTTAGTTTCCAAGTTTTATGGAGACTTAATAATTATAATGGTTTTATACAGTACAAACTCTATATTCTATCCTCAAACTCATTACAACATTTTTTTTACATTTTTACATTTTCAAAAAATCTGAAATATCCACAATATGCCATCTTTGAGGACACACACACACACACAGACACAACAATACTAAAGACAACAGTCAGTGTTACTCAGCAGTGACTCATGTAGCCTAAAACTCACAGACACGCTGACCCATGTTTGACTGCTTAACACATGACGCAGAAAAACCACACATTCTCAGCCTTCAGTTCAACAGCCTCCTCTGGCGCACACACACACACACACACACACACACACCGGAGCAGTTCTTGCCTGGATCGACTGCTTGTATACGAACAGGCGAGTCAGAGCAGATGGTGAAGCCGAAGCCGTCCTTTCCTCGTAGAATGGTCACCTAAAGCACACACACACACATATGAGTGCAACACACTGCCACCTGCTGGAACAGTACGAAACTGCAGCTGCCCTTAATTTTTTTTGCTTCAGTCTTACAGAGATTTACTTAAGCAGCAAAGTACAGAAGGTTGTGCAATATTGTAAATATAACTATAAGGTTCGACTCACAGAGGAGTGACTATATTCTATTGCATTGCAAGTTGCAACTAATATGAAAATGCGTTTAATAAAAGGTTAAAAGAAAAAAAAACGTACTTTACATTATTTTATAAAGAAAATTCATTAAGTGGGTGTGCTGTGCTCTAATATAAGCAGTATATATATAATTTTTTTTCCAATATAGCTGCACTGTGAAATTGCTGAATACCATAGCTGTCTAAATATAGAAATAATTGGGGAAAAAGTTTAGAAAAATTCCTATCGCACATATTATTATTATTATTATTTATTTATTTTTAAATCTTATCCCATATACAGTAGTCACCCACTCAAATTGCATATTTCAGCAGTATATGTAGGCTTACTTATATTCGGATTTGTTAATAACAGAATACAGTCTAATATTATTACAGGATGTAATGGACACAGTTGATGTAAAAAGTATACAAACCCCTCGGCTTTGTAATGAAAAAAATAAATAAAGATGAATGGCATCAGAACTTTTGCACATTTAACCCTCTGGGGTTGTTCGGCCCAAATGGACCCGAAGAATTAAAATACATTTTTCTTTAAAAATCACAGCTTCCTCAGAATGGTCCGAAATTTGGTGACTTTGTTGGTATTTGAACACCCAAACAAATTGGGGACAGGATGTGAATAGTCTAAGTGGTTGTAAAAAAATAGTCACACTTGGAGTGTTCGGGACTAAATGGACCCGCATGGAAAATGAATGGGAAATTGGCAAAAATGTGAAAATACTGAGTTTTTTTGTGCGTACAATCTACAAATCAGCCACGATCTTGAAAAAAAGCACACAACAGTGAAGGGGTGAATCTATAAAACATCAAGAGTGCAAAGCAGACACATCCAGACACACACACACACACACACACACACTTTTTTATACACAAACACACCAAAAATTCAGATTATACGTGTTTTGCATTTTTAAAATGCTCAGTTTGTCCACCAGATGGCATCCATCCCATTTCAAAAATTGCTTTTATGAGGCCTAGGCTTGACTCTAAAATGAAATACAGCTTTAAAAAAAAATTTTAAAAATACTTTTTTTTTTTTAATTTTTAATTTTTTCTATTATGTTCAATGGGGGAAATTTTGTCATAATTATTGCATTAATACTAATTAATAATTTTTTTTTTCTTTTAAATTTTTTCAAAACACCAAAAAGAAAAGAAAAAATATTATAAAAAATGAAAGTAAGGTCAATCTGTTCTTCATATAAAGTGATCGAGTTTGCACTAAACCTCTCATTCACATGGATTAGTCTTCTAATCTATGTGAATAAGTTGCTGTTTTCCTTATAGTTTTCCTGTTTCGTTGATTCATTCCCGTATTCCCTCATGAATGAACTCGTCTGCCCTTATAAGCCCTCAGAATTGTTTGTAAGGAGGTTGTAATACCCGTTCCCTGTGTTTACCTGTGCCATTTTGGATTGGATTGTTTGCTCGATGTGCATGGTCACTACCCTACCCGTGGCAATATTATTCTCTATTTTCATTTTCATATTTGCTTTATTATAGCATCAATCTCACTAAATTGTGATACACAATTAAAATGGTCAAAGTTTTCTTACTAAGTAAATATATATTTAGATTTATATCTTTGGTAAGGGTCACCGTGATTTTCACATATTTTGTTGATCCTGAACAACATTCCTGTCGAAAAATGTAGTCCTCCCTAAACCTAACCCTACATATAAGTTACGTGTAATATCAGAGGGAAATTATAGTTTATAGATAGATAAAGTCAAGTCAAGTCACATTTATTTATATAGCGCTTTTCACAATACAGATTGTATCAAAGATAAGCCTAAACTGGAAACTCATCCCTTTAAGCTGATTGGTTGACTGAAATGAAGTGGTTGGTGAAATTAAGTTCATCACTGAAGGATTACAATTTGGTGGATGGGGGTTATAAGGTGTAACCGTATGGGGTCCCTTTTAAAAATCTGCTTAGGGCCCCTAAAATGTGAGGGCCGGCACTGGCTGAGAGCAGATCCACTACTCTGCAGAGGGTGTTTAAGCCTCCGTGTGTGTGTGATGGCTGATCCTTACATGACATGAAGGATTACAGCGGAAATCTGGATTAAACCGAGAGAGAGAAAGGGAGGTGAAGAGGACATGAGAGGAGTAAAGAGGAGAAAATTACAGGATATGAGAGAATAAAAGTTGACAGCACTCTAAAAAAATGCTGGGTTGTTTTAACCCAAATTTGGGTCAAATGTGGACAGACCTATAGCCGTTGGGTTATTTTTAACCCAACATTTGGGGTTTGTTCATGTTTGACCCAAAATTGGGTTAAAACAACCCAGCATTTTTTTTAGAGTGAAGAACCTTGCTTTGCATTTGCTTTCTCTTCATCCGATCAT